GGGGGGGGGGCTATGGCAAATTTTGGGGTGGCTACAGCCTGCCCCCATAGGCCCTCTCCCAGAGCCACTGCCACCCGCCCTGAGCACAGCGTGGCCCAACCCCCTTACTGGGAAGAGCCCCCTGTCCTGCGCCCTGCTCCTGCTGTGCAGTGTCTGCCTGTGCCCCAGTCCCACTCCTTCTCTCACCACTGGTGGGGGGGGGCAGATTGAGGCCCCACTTATCCCAGCCCCTGCTCCTGCCTGTGCCCTGCTCCCTCCCTCACTGCTGGGGCCTCCATCTGCCCCCACCCCACGCCCATGGCTCTTTCCCCTCACCCCACAGACTTACCTTTTGCTGATCACATAAGAGTTAATTTACCTTGCATATAACGAATCTGGGGTGTAAAAAGGGTCATTGCATAAAAGCAAATTCACATATGCAGAACCCACATAAAGTGAGGGAAACCTGTATATCAATTCCATCTTGAGTTATTTTGGAGCATAACACATTTTTTTTTTATCTGTGGTCTCCTACAGTTCATCTTTCTATCATGGATGAGATTGAATTAGTTTGAATTAAGACCCCTGAAGGGCACCTGAAATGCAAAGCAAAGTTCATTCCCAAAAAGGCATGTGAATGCTCTGGGGGTGCTGTTACTTTGTTCAGTAGTGGCTGGGAGGTTCCACAATCTACATATTTGTTTTCTCTTTTGAAATCATGATTGTAAAAGTTTTCTAATTTTATTTCTCTTAAATGGGGGGGAGGGGATGGAAGGGGAGAACAGGGGAAGTGGTGGCTCTTTCTTATGCAATAATTTGCCTTCCATTCAGATACTGCTCCATTTTGCACCAGAAATGTACTCTCTTTCAATGCAGTTCTCTTTCTTCTTTTGGCAGCGGCTGAGCTCCCAACACCTCAGGCACTCTTGCTACGCCTTTTAGTAAGTGATTGGACCTGTAATTCACTTCTTTGCTGCAGAATATTTGCACCTAATTGAATACTATATCATAAGACATTTAAAATTTTTTATCTGTGAAACTACAGTGTGCTGCGTTTAGGCCAACTGAGGTTTTCTTATATCATGCTTGATGGACTTATCTCGAAAATCTGCCATTCAGATTTTTGCATGCTCTTGTGGGACTGTTCAGATATATAGCTATTTCAGACAATGCTGGTCTCCAGTAGTGAATCTGAAAAGGAGTGTACAGGGCAGTGGTCTGAAGCACTGACTTTGGGAGAGGGGTGCCAAAATAACTGGTATCGCAGCATGGTAGCCATCCCTGCTCCATGCACTCCCACTGCCCAAGGGACAAAGCTGCCATGTTACATCTGGTCTCCCATGAATTCCTCATGAAAAAATTGGGAAAATGCAGCCTCAACTACTTTACCATCCAGTGGCTAGGTCACTGGCTCTGTGGTAGGACCCAGAGAATAGATTGAACTGAGTCATCATGGTGGAGGGTGACCAGTGGTGTCCCTCAGAGTTCAGTACTCGGACAAGTGCTTTTCAACGTGTCCATCAACAATTTGGATTCAGGTATTAAAAGTGAACTAGCAAAGTTTGCAGATGATACCAAACTATAGGGGAGTGTGGTCACGCTTGGAGACAGGCTGGCAATACAGGCTAACCTTTCATAGATTCATAGATTCATAGATGTTAGGGTTGAAAGGGACCTCAGTAGATCATCAAGTCCGCCCCCCTGTCCTGGGTAGGCTCACGAGGTGGGTGGACCTCAATCTGATGTCACTTAATATGGAGAAATGTAAAGTGCTCCATCTGGGGAGATGTAATCCACAACACGCTTACAGGCTTGGCAGTGCTATGCTTGCTAGAACCAAATCTGAATGAGACCTGGGTGTCATGATAATGAATGTGAACAAAATGAACGTGAGCCAACAAGGCGATGGCATAGCTGGCAGATAATCAAACACTGGCATGCATCTACCAAGGCATCTCAAGCAAGGCTAAGAATGTCCTCCTCCCTCTCTACTCAGCCTTGATGAGGCTGCAGCTGGATTTCTGTGTCTAGTTCTGGGTGCTGCACTTCAGGAAGGAGGTGAAGAAGCTTGAGAGAGTCCAAAGGACAGCCACACATATGATTAGAGGCCTAGAGAGCAGGTTATATTAGGAGAGGCTGAAAGACTTGGTACTATTCAGCCTGGAGAAGAGAAAACTCAGAGGGAACTTGGTGGCAGCCTACAAGTATATCAAGGTTGTACATCAGGGCCTGGGGGAGCATCTGTTCCCCAAGGACCCCCCAGGGAAGGACAAGAAATAATAGGCACAAGCTGACTGAGGATTGCTTCAAGCTAGACATAAGAAAAATTTTCTTTATGAGTTGAGTACCAAGGGTTTGGAACAGGCCCCCCCCCAGAGGTAGTGCAGTCACACATCCTGATGATCTTCAAACAATGTCTTGATGCCCATCTTGATGGGATCATCTGATCCCAGAAGTCTTTCCTGCCCACGTGCAGGTGGGCTGGACCCAATGATATGTAAGGTCCCTTCCAGCCCCTCTGCTGGTCCCCATCCATACACAAGTGATATTTTAAGAGACAATGTGTAGCATTAGAACTGAATCTCCTAACTTTCCTTTCACTGTTAGTGCCTTAAATTTAACTCTGTCTCTTCATTTACCAGGTCATTTCATTGTATCCCTACAAGGGTGGGGATTCTGGGATTATTGCCCTCCAACTGCTTCATGCCCTCCACCCTATCAATTCTCTTCACCCTGTGATGCACTCAGTTTTGGGACAGCTGTGGACAGAGCAGATTCCTGAGCTCATAAAATATCTGGAAGGTAGGGGAGCAGAACATCAAACAGCTGGTGTGTGTGATCAGTCCTTCCCACTTATGACTGGCAAACAGTTCAGTTGCATCACCCCACAGAAGTGATAGGAATAAGTGTTGGGAAACATTTTGTCGACCTATATGCTCTTGCTCCTGCAAAAGTTATTTGAAGTTTTTATTTTCAAAGGGGAAAAAATAACACGGTCTTCTCTGAATGTGTCTAGCTGAGTATTGGGGGTTGATGTCTCACATTAGTGAATAAATACACAAAGTGTGTCTTTTTCTTGCATACCCAGCTTGATAGGGTTTAATTGCAAACATGCTTTTCTTTCTCTCTTTTGGGAGGGGAAGAGAGGAAGAAAGAGGGAGAGAGAGGAGGGGGAAGAGAGAGGGAGAGAGAAAGAGACACCCTGAGGGTGTGGGTCACAGCAAGCTGGTTGTTATGCTAATGGGTCCCAGTGTGAAAAAGTTTGAAAACCACTGCTCTATTGAACCCAAGAACATGTTTGACAAAAGAATAATTTCCAGAAAGGTGTTCAGCTCAATTAAAAGAGTTCAAGAGATGGCAAATCCAGCTCTTACCTGTGTAATTCTTTCAGTGGTTACAAGGTTTGCTCATATTTCATATTGACATGTTGATAATCAAGCAAAAGCATCCATCCTATCTGGTGCAACTCACTTTTCACTGACATTCTAGGTTTCCATTGTGTTTTGCTGACTCAGTCTGAACAGCATTTATACCATTTTTGCTGACCAGCAACATTTCTGTCCCTTCCAGAACATAATAAGGAAACTCTGGAAGAGAAGACATGGAAGGGCAAGCTGCTTATGGTAAACGTCAGCCTTCTTTCTAACATCCATCTTCTTTATCCCATCATCAGTATCTCTGTTGTGTTCCATTCACACTAAGCAAAGAATCATTGATGTTTCTCCTATTATATGATAGGATCAGTTGCTTTGCATATCCTTCCCAAATATATCTACACAGCAACAGAACAATGCCAGTGTTTCCAAACATGGCATGCATTACAACAATGGGGGCCAACTTTTTTGGCAGGCATGCCACAATTAGCCCTGCACCCTCCCCAAGTGCCTCTCTGATCCCCTTCCACTGTACAATCTGCTACTTTGCTTTCTCCTTCCTGCCCTATGCTCCCTACCCAGTCCGCTGCTCTGCTTTCTGCTTCTTATCCTATCTGCCACTGCACTGTTTGTCCTCTTTCTGATCTGCCGTGTGCCACTTATGGCATGCATGCTGCAACTTGGCCACCCCTGCCTTACAACTATGACTTTAGCAGCACATTCTGGGGTTGTTGAAGATCCACCTTCTTCCTTCCACTCTGGAGTGGAAGTAACATGCATTAGGTCTATACTCGGTGCAATGCGTGTCTGTCAGTATACTGACATGGCTATGTTGGCTGGTGCATTATGGGTATAAGGTCAGGTCTCCAACCTGTCTTATGCTTACATACACTTATCTCTGAAGTATCTGCCATGGCTGTGGTCAGAGACAGGATACCAGAGGAAGTGAATCATCTTGTAGTTTCTGTCTCTAAGTCCTAGACTATTTTGAAAATAGAAGGCAGCAATAAGTTTGAGGAGTATAAATATTTGTAACAGATTCTTTATCCTACCCTCCAACAGCTTTTAGAAATATCAGTGGAATCCATTATGGATGATGCGTGGTCCCGTGAGCTTGTAGATGAGATCCTTGTAAAAAGCAAAAGCTACTCTCAGGGGCCCCAAGATAAGGTCAGTCCTCTATTTATTGAGTGTATAAGAGTGAAACAGTAAGTGCAGTCTTCCAGAGTTGTTAATGTTTCTGGGGAGATAAAAGAATGCTAGATAGCCTGAATTATAAGGTTGGTGTTTAAGAAACACAAGTTAGAGTTCTAGAATTCTTTTCTAGAATTCTATTTTGTATTAGAATTTGTAAATTCCTATTTGACTTCTGTTGACTTTAGTAGTACTCTTCATATGTTTAAATTAAGCAGATACTTAAGCACTTAGCCTCTTCTCATTTCATGCCTTTTTAAAATATACTTCTGCCATAACCGTTGCATAATGACCCACTAAAAATCTCTATAGAATATTGTGTGCTGCATAAAATGCTAATAAGTCACCATTTATGGTCTATGATGGATGGGAAAATCTGCTTTTCAAGAGCAATATTCCCCTCCCACTGTCTTCTTGCCTACATTTCTCCAACTCTGGATCCAGATCCTCTGATAGTATTAGACAGCATATTCCCAGAATAGTCACTGGAAGTGCTGAACACTTGACAGCTCATAAAAACCAGGGCCCCAGTTTTCCTGCTTATGTATGGAATTATGGGCCTGCTTTGAAACATGCACTAAAATCTCAGCTTCAGTAAATAGATGATGATAGTGATGTGGAAAAGCTACATTCCAAATACTATCGGTGATGATGGCCAGGTGCAATCTTCAAAGCAGTAATATTTCACTGTTAGATACATGAAGAGAATCAAAATTTTCATTTTGCAGAGTTATAATGTACCACAATACTGTCCATCAGATAGTAAAGAAATCAGTCAGATAGTATCTAGCCCTTATTACCTCTGCCATAAACTACCATTCCTTACTTTCAACCAAATGGTGACCATAATGGTGCATTTTTTTTGAAAACACGTAAGGTATTATCTTGAATCTGAATTATTTTTCCCAAATATCGACCTATCAGTGTAAGCAAGGAACAAGGCCATCAGCATCAATAGAAAATGGTTTGGAGGAAATAATTTTTGTTCCACCAAGACAGGACAGTGCAAACTATGATCTCCAAAACTACTAACAGGAATAACATTTGTTCTAGTGTATTTAATGAGAATGTTATTTTTTTGTAGTATTTCCCATATAAATTTTATGGGACAGTATTACGGGTATCCAGAAGCAAAGAGTTTGTGAGGGAGTATCTCATCATCATACTGCAAACTTCTCATCAGGAAGAAGCTGAGAGAGAGGTGAGGATAGTTGAGGGGTTAGGCAATGAATCTTTGTGGGGAAGGAAGGGAACAAAAAGAGTTTCCAGACACTGAAGAGGAGGACTGCAAATTATTGTGGAGCCCTCAAATATCTGTGCAAGCATCAAAGTGGGAGAAATTGCATAATCTTAGGGTGAAGGAGGGAGAAGAGAAAGGTATAAAGTAGCTATCAAAGATCTCTCATTAGACTGGAGGAAGAAGGAGGGTAATGATGGAAGGCCTTGCCTCCTTGTCTGAAAGGGGAATGAAAAGGAAGGCCTGTGAAGGTCTTCACAGTTTGAGAAGGGAAGTGAGGGGGCCGAGGTAAGGAATGCAGGTGAGGATCATGGAAAAAAGAGATTGTTCTAGGCTGAGGCATGACTCTGTGTTTTAGGGGATTGCTTCTGCCATCAGTCTCACAGCTACTCGCCACCTCAACGACACCTTAGTGGTGCTGCAGGAATTCAGTAACCAGCTGATCCCAGAGGAAGGTTCACCCAGTGAGGTAGAGCTCGACTGTTGTTTTTTGTGAAACTGCTTCTCAGGCATAGCTTGCAAGGCATGCTTTTCTATGTTTGCCTCTTTTCAGTGACATTTCTGGGGTCAAGTATGCAGGCCTCATGGTACAAGGGAAAGTGAAGTCTTTTATCACTATGAGTTGCACTTGCGAAACAGGACATTGCACTGCCTGATGTGTAATCTGGGTTAGGAGTGAGGTATTCTAGTTGTAGTAAAACATGGGAAACATGCGAGTCCATGAGGCCCAGAACTGCATCCGCTCTGCTTTCTGAACACACTGTCTTCATGAGCTGTTTGGAGCAGGAAAGAAAAAAGATGCAAGGCACAGGGCGTTAGAGTTAAAGCTATTGGGGAACCTGAATTTCCTGACTCTGCAAGATTAAAATCTCAACCTCTGGGTCTCATTGATACAAATTCTGGACCCTATCCTCAAATCTTTCTCCTGAAACTATTCATATTAGCAATCTCCCTAGAATTATGTGGCTGGAACAAGGAATTATGGGGCTGGATCTTATCAAATGCCATAAGTGAGAAATGTTGCCATATTGCCTTGGAAGAGGCCACTTGAGTGTGTCGGTATCACAGGCTCTACCAGGAGAGGATGCTGCTTAGCTTTGAACCTGTTCTGATATTTAAACTCCTCTCTTCTCAGAGATGGTGGGGGAGGCATTCATAAGTGGATGTTTCCTTTCCAAGTATTTATCTCTAGTGAATTCCTCCCACATGAGTCTTTAAACCAAAATTACATGTCTTTCCAAAAGTCTGGCTTAGATTCCCTCTAGTTTTGCTCACAAGTTACAGGGCTCAGTAATATTCTCTGTTAGGATGGAAGAGTGATTCTTCCTCCACTGCCATAGTCACTAGGTGAAATCCTATAGCCTGTGCCATTGCTGAGGTCATTGCGGGACCCCTAGCACAGCTGTACGAGCACTGGTGGTGCTCTGGTGTGGTGCCAGAGGACTGGAAGAGGGCCAGTGTGGTTCCCATCTTCAAAAAAGGGAGGAAGGAGGACCTGGAGGACCCGGGGAACTATAGGCCAGTTAGTCTTACCTCGATCCTGGGCAAGCTTTTTGAGAGAATTATCCTGGCACATGTCCATGAGGGGCCAGCAGGGGAGATCATGCTTAGGGGCAACCAACACGGGTTCATTAGAGGCAGGTCCTGTCAGACCAACCTGGTGGCCTTCTACGACCAGGTCACCAAATCCTTAGATGCAGGGGTAGCAGTGGACATAGTCTTCCTGGACTTTCGGAAAGCCTTCAACACTGTCTCTCACCCTGTTCTCATTAAAAAACTGGGGGACTGTGGCATCGATGCCTACAAAGACAAATGGGTCGCTAACTGGCTGATCTCCACTCTGTGGTGGAGATTGTCCGAACCGGCTGATTTAAATACATCCAGTCCCTCCAGAAGTTCCCTGACTAGATCCTCCCTGACCCTTGGCCTGGGTGTGCCTCCCCTGGGGCCTGAGGGGGGCTCGGTGAGGGGGGGCTGATCCGGTCCCTTCTCAGGAAAATGGAGGCAAAGAAGTTGTTAGATAGGTTAGCTTTGTTGTCTGGTGTGATGACCAAATTTCCTAGCGTGTCTTGCATGGGCCGCACATTACCCAGTACCTTCTTTTTGCCCCCTATGTATTTAAAAAAGGACTTCTTGTTGTCCTTGATCTGAGTAGCTAGTCCCAGATCCAGGTCCTGTCATCCCCATGGCCCAGGGTACTCCCCTACAATCCCCGCCCCCTCTTTGTGACCAGATGGGGCCCTGCTGTGTCTGCCCTCAGCACCAGATCAGGGCCACTGGTCATATCTGGTCTATGGGCTGACCAGGTACTCCCCATCTAGTCTGCCAAGGAAAAAGGTTGAGTATCACTGGCCTAGGCTACTTCAGAAGTCAGATCAGATTATCATAATAATCCTCTGTGGCCTCTGATACATGTGCTTCTCTACAGGTTCTCTCTCAGTCTATAGAAAGTTGTCTAAAACTTAATGATTGCAGCAGTTCTGTGGGGAGGAAGGTGTGAGATCATTCATGAGAGGAAGTGATCTCAAAGATGAGTCTGTGTATGTCTCCCTTTTTGTTACAGCAGAATGAGTGGAGGAGGTCATTCAGCACACTCCATCTTTGCTATGACCAAGTGGCCATGGAAACAAAGGACAGTATCCTGCCCTTGGTGGACAACATTCTCTTCCAAATGTTACACCACTTCCGCCGCTGCACTGCCTCAGCCATGGTACTGTGTACAGGACTAATTGCTATGGGTTCCTTATTCATTCCTAAACTTCTGAGGTCCTAAGGTTGAAAAATCTTTTCATTAGGCCCAGCTTGTCTGTACTAGAAATTTGTCTCATGGGGCTTTAAACATCATTGTATTATGGCTTGAGTTCCCAGAATACTTGAATATTCTGAAAAGTGGACCTCCTGAGTCTGGCATCCCACAGCTGATCTTCAAAATGTGGCCACAAAACTTTCCATGCTGGATTCTGAAGGAAGACTTGCTTTCATGTAATTCCCAGGGCAAGGATTTCTTCTTCGGTGCTAAGAAAAACAGTTCCAAGAAAAGATAAAATTCCCCACTCACTTCCTCAATGCCTGTGACCATCCTCACATGTCCATGGATAGCTCTGAGATTAAAATGAGACTGATAGTAACTTTATCAGTTCAGTGGGTTTATGAAGTGATGTCCAAATGTAGTGATCTTGCTTGTTCTCCTTTTTATGAGAGTTGGTGTCAGGGCAAAAAGGGAATTCTGTGATTTTTGCTTTATGACAGTCTCATGGCAGAAGGAGGTTTATGAGTTTTTTTGGCTTAGAAGCTGCAGAAAAGTTTGTTAAATATCCCTTTTCATCTGATCAAAGGAATTAAAGGACTACATATTTTTACAACTATGAGATCAGACCAGTTGCACGCTGTTTATTTCTTATTTATTTTAAATTCCAAGACTTACCCATGATGTAGTTGGGGCTTTCCAGACTCTTATCCCAATGTCCAAAGTAACTCTTTTCACCACAAAATGATTAATTACAACCTTAATGGAGTGTTCTATTTCCCATGAGAATTAAACTAAATGATAGTATGGACAGACTAAATATGTTTGGGCCTTTTTTTTACATTCCTGGTTTTCCTGCATCTAGAAAGGATCCCAACTGTGACTGTCTTTTAATGTTAAATATAAGTAGGTTGTAAGGTTTCAGCACATAATAATTACTCCTTCTCCACTGGCAGGAAAGGAGACCAGACGTTGGCTATTAGGTGAAGTGAAAAAAACCTGTTTTTAAAATACAGGTGGTGGGAGCTGGATATAGGCTACTGTATTTTGACATGACCCAGGAGGGCTTGCATAAACTACAGTGTAAATGTGCAGTGCTAGATCACAATAACTTACTTGATCTAATCAGCACATTCTAAAACTCAAACTAAGACAAAGGCACAGTACTTTTGAATGTGGAAAACTGTAGCCAGTTGGAAGCTACTCAGATCTAACATCTCACCTTTATAGCCTAGTCTAGATAAGGTCTCAGCTGCTTTACTTCTCCTGGTATTGAGCTATCATTAATGCATTAAACTGTTATTTTCTTTGTTCCTGGGAGGGGTTTAGGACCTAAGTCTAAAGCTGAGCTTTCTGAGATCAATGGCTACATTCACAAGAACAGTGGGTGACATTGCCCACACAGCAAAAGAAACCCATGAGTTCTCACAGAAAGCGGTGATTGCAGCATTTATGACGGTGAGTAAAATTTGCAAAAGGACCAACTTCTGCTCTCATTTCTATTGGTACAAATCTTGGAGTAACCAAGCCAGGGTTGCTAACTCTCTGTAAACTTATGACTATTTCACAAATAACAAGGCTGAAAATGCCTGTCTGTAAATTCCATAAAGACACTGCACCATCCATAAGTCAGGAAGCACAAACACCTCTACAAAATCAGCTCCCTAATAGCATGGAACATCTGAAACTCCATGGTTGGAAAACAAGCTAGCTGCATTTTTAAAGGATAGCAGTACCACCTGACGTCTGCGTAGGAGTGCAGCACCCTAAGGTAGCTCTTCTCAGGCCCTTACGGTGTTGCTCCTGGTGCTGCCTCCGATCTGCCTATAACATGACTGGGTAGCAGGTAGGCAGATTGTCAGTAAAAAAAATTGCCTTGGGTTGGCAACCCTGAACCTTGCTGGTTGAGGAAAAGGCTGGTTTGGAGGTTACAAAATTCAGGAACAAGAAAAGGATGCAACAGGCAGTTTGAAATCAAAGCAGCCAGGGGTATCTATAGGAGCCCCAAGCCAGGGGCAGCATTATATTTAAGAGAATAAAGGGGCCTGTGAGACGATTTATATTATTAATCCAAAAGCATTGTGACTTGTGGATTTCTTACCTGATGTTACATGTGTCCTTGGGCTCATGGCATATGTTACAATATGATGGAACAAACCAGTTCTTTTTTTTTTGTATTTAATTTTTTTAAAGAAAGATAAGTATACAAATATGCATTTAAGCAAGTATATTACTGAGCTAATTTCCTGCAATTTCACTAAGCTAATTAAAAATGGAACAATGTAATGATCAAATTAAGGGCACAATTAAAAATAATTTGATAGATTCAAATTAACAAATGTCCAAGATAATACAAAAGGTACTCATTTTGAATCATAATGTTAATAAAAGGAATATTTTTATGTCAATCTTAGGTTGAAGGAGTTGGCTCCTTTCCACCTAAGACCCTACCCAATTAACTGGGGAAAGATGGAAATAACCCTCCATAAGACCTAAGGCCCAAATCAAAGCCCTTCTTTAGATGGGTAAATAGCATTCACACTGCTAAAGTTAGCCACGTAAGCAGGATTTTTGGCAACTTATGTGGATGTGAGATGCTATTCCACACAGGAAGTCATGTCAAGTCCATGTAAGTTACATGAAAGAGGTGGGCCCTCTCACTAATACACCAGTGGAATTTGCCTAGGGAGAGGGAGGCCCAGGTTCTCCCACTCTTCAGCAAAGAACTGGTAGTTTTCATGTTGCTGCGTAGGTACTGCAGGTTGAAAAGCTGACCACCCATTTGCTACTCAACCTCAATTCCAGGAGGAAGGTGGTCACAGATGAGAAACAAAATCACAGAAAGATAGATGGAAAAAAGAGTTGGGGTGATGATGCAGTATGACACCAGTATGAATGGTAAATTGCATACTGATCCATTGCAAAGGACTATGCTGGTCATCCCATTATAGAGTAGCCTGAGGACACTGATGAACTTCAGTGGACAACTAAACCTAGCCAGCACCTTCCATGATTGATGGAGAGGTCATGATTGATGGAGAATGTCATAAACAGCACCTGGTGGTGCTCTCTACACTTCTCCTGGATCTGTTGTAAAACAAAAATCATGTCAGTGGTACCCCGAGATCATCTAAAGCCACACTGGGATTCTGGAAGGACAATGGGGAAGAGGCAATTCAGAAGGATGTAAGAATCTTCCCAGCAGTGGAGAGGAGGGTAATGTCTTGGTAGTTCCCATGCACTGACTTATCCCCTTTCTTGAAGATGGTCACAATGTTGGCATTCTTTAAGTCAGGTGGAACTTCCTCACTAACCCATATTTTGATGAGTTGGTGAAAATTTTGCATTAGTGCTGTTCCACCAGCTTTGAAGACCTCTGTAGGGATGCTGTCTGGGCCTAGCACCTTACTGTTCTTTGTCTGAGTGATAGCACAACAGACTTCCTTGAAGGATGGGGGATCAGCAAGAAGTTCATAGTATCATAGTACTTAGGGTTGGAAGGGA